ATCATTCTGTAATTTACATGCGTATGAGCTACTAATAGAGCAAATATGGTAACCAGATCATTTAAAGACTGGAAATAAATGTTTTTCATGCAAATTTGAAATTATCTTGTAATTCACTTGATTTCATGCATTATCCATCATATATCACACCCACTGGATACTCTGGGTAAAGTGGGATTAAACAAGTTATTACTGGAAAAAAAAGTTACCAATAACCACTAAATAAGGCCCTGTCATGACAATATCAAATTAATTTTGAGAACTCTCTTTACCTTATAGACAGAGCCAAAGCCACCTTTCCCTAGTTGCACCAACTCTACAAACTCTTCATTATATCGAGATACAAATGCATTAAATAAACCCTCTCTGTCCACATGTATGTGAGCGTCCACAGGGTTGCTGTTTTCAAATAGCATCATAGCTCTTTCAGGCAAAGATGATGGTAATACTATGTGCCTTGGCTGCAAAATAGCATAAGTCATTCAATGCGTATGAATTTTTCTTTTTTTAACATTAATTCATTGTTGATTTTTTTTTTTACACAATCATATTTCATTTCACACAGATGTTTGACGTTTAGTATGCCGAAAACCATTTCCTAAAGACTAGGACTCACGGAATATTTTTCTACGTAAAAGTCCTGACACTCCCAAAGTACTTCGCATAAACAATTAAACCAAACTTCAATTTTGAGAATAAAAACCTGACCTGACAAAATTTTGTAGCAGTAATAATTTCTATGGGCGTAGAGTCATGGTAAAAGTCGTGTAATTCAGTTCATTCAAACGCCCTTAATAGGTGATTTTCCGAACAATTGCGAGATCTCGCGAGATGCATGAAAGACGCGCGTCGAACGTCTGCCGCAAAAATCGAACGATTTGATTTTGAACTAGAATTTCTTTATTTCGCAGCTTACATTGACTGGCCGATCTTTGACAGAGGAATATTGCTTCCGAATACCATTACTTAATCGAAATTGCCTATCATCAAATGTGGACAGCACATTATTAAGCATGGAAATGTCCCCGAAATACTTTTGCGTTTGTCGAATCCCACGCGATGTTTGACGCCACTACGACGCTATGACCTTTGTTTGTCCTGTTTTTACGTTCGATTTCACGCATAACGCGTGATTCTCGCAGTGTACGGAAAATGGTCTATTCCAGTTGACAGTATCTATTGTTTTATTCACTGCCTAACTTTTTGATTGTCACTTTCACAAAACCTGCATATCTGTCAAGACTTTAAGCCAATTGGAAATTTAGGTAGGTAGGTAATGACTCTCTCGCTTAAATCAAAATCCAA